CTTGAAACGAATTATGTCGCTTTTGAGGCAATTTCTCTTGAAGCATCATCTTTGAATATGTTTTCCTTGGAACTAATTTCATCTCCCCGTGAGACAATTTCTTTTGGAACTAAGTTTTGTCTCTCTTGAGACAGTTTTTCTTAAAACAAAATTTTGTCTCCCTTAAGACCGTTTCCCTTGAAGCAACAAATATCTTTGAGATCGTTTCCCTTGAAACGAGTTATGTCTCTTTTGAGACAATTTCTCTTGAAGCATCATCTGAATCGTTACACTCAGCTCAGGCACATACTTGGGATAGCATTTCTCAAATCAAAAATAGAATGTGCACATCAGATTTGAACATTTGAAGAATTTGAGACCAGGGATCAAAACTTGAAAATTCCAGAACCAAGATTCCAGAAAAACAATCGGAGATCGAGATTTCTCTCCTGAGCTTAAAAATAACATATGTTGCATATGCATTTTAGGCATACCTAAGAGCATTGCATCCATCTCATCACATATATGCATAACTTTTTCAGGTTTTAGCTAGAGTCAAGTTAAACTTCACAACAAAGGGACGGCTGGTTGCCAACAACAATTTCCCAATTTCAGAACCGATTTCAACTCCACGACGGAGGATATCGTGCTACCCGAGACAACACAAGTTCAACTTCACAACGAAGGGACGGTTGGTTGTCAACGAACAACTTTTCAGTTTCATCCGCGATTTCAACTCCACGACGGAGGATATCGTGCCACTCGAGACAACACAAGTTCAACTTCACAACGAAGGGACAACTGGTTGTCAACAAACATTTTTCAAATTTCAGAGCCAATTTCAACTTCACAGCGAAGGATATTGGACTCGAGACAACACAAGTTCAACTTCACAACGAAGGGACGGCTGATTGTCAACAAAATTTCGTTCAGAGTCAATTTCAACTTCACAGCGAAGGATATTAGACTCAAGACAGCACAAGCTCAACTTCACAGGGAAGGGGCGGCTGACTGTCAACAAACAATTTCCCGGTTCCAGAACCAATTTCAACTTCACAGCGGAGGATATTGGACTCGGAACAATATTTGGATTTCAACTTCATGGCGAAGGATATCCAATTCTCAGGCTCAACTTCACGACGAAGGGGCCCTGTACGATTCCAATTTTACAAACAGATTGACCCAACTTCACGGCGAATGAGTCATTTGTAACGCATCAACACTGAAGTCTTCAGGTCAAGTTTCACCTTCACGATGAAGTATCTTGATCCAGAAGACGATTCAAATGCCACTTGCCAAAAGCTTTGAGTTCGATTCCAACTTCACGACGAAGGATATAGTGCTCAGAAGCTTCGAGATGAACTCGACTTCACGACGGAGGAGTCATCCGTAACTCAATTCGACAGGGACTTATTGAAACATCAGAGTCAATTTTCAACTCCACCGAACGAAAAGTGTGTCTTTCAATCTTTGCCCTATCCCCGTTACACGACTATGGGCAAAGAGGGGTAGCTGTCAACACACCTTTTTCGTCCTACTAGGATTCAAACTCTAAAAAATAGGATAAAATTCTGCTAGGATTCAACTCCTAAAAATAGGATAGAATTTTGCTATGTTTTAAACTCCTAAAGATATGATCCACAAGCACTCTAAATAGCCATTGTGGCTCACTATTGTAAGACACGATGGGCATACGAAATTACCAGAAAAAAAATACGAGCAAATAGATTGTTTTGAAGCTATTGTAAACAATTCAGGAGCAATAAAAGGTGAAAGATTTTACCTTTCGCATTCTTTTCTTCACTTGCATGTATTGTTATTCGTCTTTGTGCTTGAAAAAAAAATAGTTTTGGCCGAGGAAAAGGGGTTGTCGTTCGAAACTTTTCTTTTAGATCTACACAACCCCGAGGCCGTTTTGGAAAAAAACTAGAATATTTAAAACGAGGGAAGGAAAGGATTTTAAAAATCAATTTTTTTTCGAGGTTTACCGCCGATGAACGGTCCCTTATGTATTATTTTCATATTTTTATTTATTTCTTTTTGATAATTCGTATTATTAAGTATATATATATATTAATTATTTTTATTCTAATATTATTTTAATGTTTTTTAAAGTTATCATATATATATTTATAACTATTATATTATTATTTTACTATTAACGTATATAAATATATTTTTCTCTTTTGCTACTATTATTATTTTACTATTAACGTATATAAATATTTTTCTCTTTTGCTACTATTATTATCATTATATGTATATTTTTATTGTATTTTATTTTTTATTTTACTTTTTTTAAACATATGCATATATACATTTAATTATATTTTTATATTTTATACTTCTTTATTTTTTTGTTTTCATGTATTTATATTATATTACATTATTATTATTTTACTTTATTAAATTATTATTTTTCGTTATTATATTCATTATATATATATATTATATTATAATGTTTTTTTTGTTTATTCATTCTTACTATATTATAGGGATACATCACACTCATTTATTAACTACGGTCCTACCCCTTATCATCTTTTTCCTTCCTGACAGTTATACTTCACCAAACCTTGACTTTCTTTTTTTACTTTCTTTTGGTGTGATCGCGTTTTTTTTATTTTACTACTTATTATCATTATTATTATTTTGCACTTAATAATTATATATTTTTATTCCTCTTTTAGTTTTTCATCATTTTTTTTTATTTTTTCCCTTCTATTTTCTTTATTTCATTTACTCTTATTTCCTTTTTCCTTTAACGCGTTTCTCGACTTTTTAAGGGTACTCTTTCAAATTGATCGGAGGTAAGTAATTTTGGATCATATGTTACCTTTAAATTTTAACTTTCGATTTTCTTAATTAAAAACAACTGGAAATTACGTAGTACTGAAAGGGCGGTTCAAGGGTGCTAATCCTTCCTTGACCGTAACCGACTCCCGAATCCGACATATCTTTGGTAAGACGCAGATCAGGTAAGATATAAGGTATCCGATTAACCTATTTTTTTTAAATAAATAATCGGTGGCGACTCCAATCACATTTTTCAAGTCGAAGCCCAATTCTGTGGCCCAACCGAAAGACGGTTACGACAGATAGATGTTGTAACCTCCTTCAAGTGTCTGACTTATTTTTATATGTTGTAATGTGTTTGTGGCTATTTCTAGCCATTGGAGATAATCTAGAGCCGTTAGGGACTTATTTTTCTACAAAATAAAATTGCCCAGAGAAGGGAGTATTTGTACTACCTTTTGGAGTATCCATACCTCCTTTATAATATTTAAATAAACTAGTTGTTAACGATCATTGGGCTTGACCAGTATCGATACTAGAGTTTGTGGTATCGGTACTACTATATAAAGTATTATCGATACCACTAGAGTATCAGTACTAATTTTGTATTCTGGAATTTGAACAATTTGGAAAACAACAAATAGTATAAGTACTACCAATATAGTATCAATACTTCTTTTACTCGTGGTATCGATACCTCAAGATCAATATTGTTACTATTTATGTGGTACCGATACTGTAAGAACAAAATCGATATTATTTATCGATAGAACAATTTTATGTTCAAATTCTAGTTTTATGGACTTTGAATTGTTTTTGAAATCTTTGAACAACTTCAATCAAGTCTAAAACAATTTTCCTTTAATTTGTTATATTAAAATATAGGTTCAACAATAAGCAAAGGAAACAAAAACTCATTACAAAAAAAAAAAAAAAACAAATGAAACAAAGATATGGGTAAGAGTTCAGTAGGAGAATGGGTGGAAGGAGCAATAGTGAAAACAATGTAAGGGTTGTTCTTGCCAATCATCGACGATAGAGTCAACATTTTTTTTATAGAATTTTGGTAAAGGAAAAGAAAGAAAGGTGAATCAATATTTTAGTAAAGAAAAAGAAAGGAAGACGGGGAAGAGTGAAAGTATGGGAAGAGAATGAGAAAAATAAAATTGAGATCTCACCAAACCCAAGCAAAGAACAACTCTTTTTATTATTGTGATTTTATTATTTAAGATAATGGGTTTAATTATAAAATTTAGTGCTTCAATTTTATAATAACTCAAGAATTATTGAAAATTATTATATTTCATTGTTTTTATTATATTTCATTATTACATCAAATACAACTAAACTTTAGGCTTTGTATCGTTTATACCTGTAAACTTTTAATTTTGTCAATTATAGCATTGAACTTTGATTTTTGTTTCAATTATACAAATGAATCGTTGAATTGTTAACGACACAATGATGTGGCTGACGATTGTTGAAATGGATGACGATTATCGACATAGACACCTCACAAAAAAGACGTCGTTTTGATCCAACTATTAACAATTTAACGGATTAGTGATATAATTGAAACGAAAATCAAAGTCCAACACTATAATTGAAAAAATTAAAAAGTTTAATGGTATAAATGATACAACACCTAAAGTTCGGTGATATTTATATAATTATCTTTAAAAAAAATTAGCACCGAACCAAAAAAAATATCATCACAAATCATGATCCCAATCGTTCTAAAGAAATCTACCCTCAACGAACTGCAAACAATAAAATTAACAAATTACGATCTTGTACACGTTTTACGAACCAAAGAGAATTAAAATTAAATAACATCATTATTATTATAAATAAATATTATTTTATAATCATCTCATACTATTAAAGAAAATAAATCATAATAATGTTTAAATATTGAAGTAATTAAGTTTTATCAGTAAAATTATTAGATAAAAGAAGTATAAAGTAGAAAATTTTTAGAAGTTGTGAAATAAAATAAGAAAGAAACATAAAATTTAGATTTTAAAAGCATAAAAATCCGACGGCTTAAACATTCCAAATCAAGGCCGTACCATTAGGCAATCGTGGACCTCTTCCACACCCACCCACATATCCTCAAAACCCTAAGTGAATCCTAAAATGACCATAATACCCCAATTTATAACTCCTAATCTGCTGACCATAAAGGTCATTTCAAAATCTTGCTTATATTATTGCTAATCTTAGGGCTTTCTGGTTCCCTAACTCTGAAAATCAGAAGAGAAGCAGGAGCCGCTCCCCTTGCTTCGTATCAAGCTAAATTTAGGTCAGGTTATATGTTCTGTTGCAAATTTTCGTGGTTTTATTTAGCTATGTTTAACGTTAGATCTTCTGTTTCTTTTCTAATTTTTAATTTGTTTTTACTTCTCTTTCTTGTTATTTTGAAGATGTGTAAGTCTTGCTTTTGATCAAGTTTAATCGGCAATAGTTTTGTTTAAGTTGTTCCTCAAGAGTAGAATACCTGATCATCTGTTAAACTGTGCTAATAAGTTCGAAAATGTTAGTGTATGGATCCTCATGAACCCTTCTTGCTTTTGCTTTAGTGTTTTTCTGTTCAACTTGGTGAAACGTGTTCTCACATTTGTGATTATTAATCGTGTAATTAAGTTACCTTTTGAAGTATTTGGTTAAATTCAAATAGTAATTGTCCTTTTTAATCTGCTTTCGAGAGTTAGATTGCTTTGTTGTCTGTTGAAGTATGCTTTTAAGTTGCTAAAACAGAAGTCTATGAATCCTTAATGGGAAATTTTTTGTTTTGCTAGAGCATTTTTCAAATATATGACTAGTAATGTTGTATCAAGGTACTTTTTTCTGTTTTGTTAGTCCTTTTGAAACATGATGCTAGGTTGACTAAATGTTGTTGCATGATGTTAGGTTGCAAAAATTGAAGTGTATGATCCTTATGAGCCATTGCTACCTTGCTTGTATTTCTATCAAATTTGGTGCAAAGAGTTTTCAAAATTACCTTCAATAATCTTATTTAAGCTCCCTTATCAAGTTGGCAGCTATATTAGCTTTAGACTAAAAATCTCAGATTCAAAGTTTTGGGCCCTTTTGATTATTTTCAGAGATGGATTCCCAAATCAAGTTTGCTGTTGTGGTGAAAATCATGGGAAGAACAGGATCAAGAGGTCAGGTGACTCAAGTGAGAGTTAAGTTTTTGGATGATCAGAACCGGTTCATTATGAGGAATGTTAAGGGACCAGTCAGGGAGGGAGACATTCTCACCTTGCTCGAGTCCGAGAGGGAAGCCAGGAGACTTCGTTGAATAGATGTTGCTCTTTTGTTGCAAGTAGCTAGCTATTATGTTTTTTGTTTTAACATTTCTGAAAGGTATCCAAATTTTCAAATCAAGACTTGGATTTGTAGAGACTGCAGTTGTTTCTAAAGCTTAATCAAGATGTTGAAATGAACTAAGTTGGTGTTGAGATTATGATTTTTATCTGCAATAACTTTTGCCTGGTAATCTTTTACTTGCATGATCTCATAATGCTACTGGTAAGGTGATTTTTTATTTCCTGAAATATTTGTATTTGGTACAATATTTAATAGTTAGGGTTATAAGTATAATGTTTTGAATCACCAAACCTGCAAATCTGCCTTGTTGACTAAAATAATCATCACATCTCTTGACCTCAGGCCACCGAAGGCAGCGAGGGAAAGTAGTGAATGGCCTATTGTTTGCTTCAGATGGGTTAAGTGAAATCTAATACAACTGGAGGTAATGATGGCAACAAAAATGTTGGAATACTTCCTCATGTATAGTGCCTTTAATGTGTTAAGAAGATAAAATGTCAATTTTAGAAGTGATTTTTAAATTATTGTTAAAAATTGAAAAGTGATTTTAAATTAAATTTACAAGATATAAGATTAAAAATATATTAATTTTTGTAATTCAAATTGAATAAAAAAATATAATTGAAGTATAATTTGTATATGAAATATTTTTAAGAACATTAAATTAAATGCTTACAATTTTTAAAAAATATTAAAGTTCAATACTTTGCATCGGTGCAAGTATAATTTTTTTAGAAATATTAAATATAAATATTTATACCAATGTAAATATAAGTGTTATTAAGACCAAAGTAAGTATATTTGATTGGATCAAATTGTTCATCTTTATTCATTCATATTCTTTTATGTTATCAGTTCTTTTTATTTTTTCAAGAGTTCGTCCTTTCTTCTTTTGTTAAGATCAAGTTTAAAATTCTTCATCTAATCTAATTTTTTACTGTAAAATTACTAAACTTATAGTTTTTTTATTTAGATTGATAATCACTTCACAAACTTAATTTCACACGAAAATTAAGTTGTTTGATAACTCAGTCGAAAAGTGTTTTTGGCAAGCTAAAAGCATTGTCAAACCCTCTATAATATATGAATGATACATAATTTTCTAAGACTTCAAAGATACAACGATGAAAACTTGTACTTTCTATCTTTGAGAAGGCAGCTGATCGTTGCTTTATAGTAATCTATCCCAAAAATAATATGACGGAACATTGTTAATTTTCCCCTAAATCGATAATTATTAAAGATTTTACACCAATAAATCAAAACTATCAAATATCAGTTAAATCTCATAACACAACGATTTGTACCCTTTATACCTGCGCACAAGGTAAAGTTTTATTTTACTTGTTCTATAAAATTTAGTGTAAAGTATATAAATAGTCTCCGAATTTTTAGGACGTTTGTATTTTAGTCATCCAACTTTTAAAACTTACAATAGAGTCATCGAACTTTTATTTCGTTTGCAATACGATCCCCGGCGTTACCGGCCATTACTTGTCGTTAGTAGAAAATGACAATGCACGTTAGTATCCCATTTTCAGTTATAAAAATTAAAATAAAAATTCCCAAACATCGCTATATTACAATTGGGAAAAGTTAAATGGGTTTTAAACTCATTCACTAATAAGTTAAAACAAAATTCTCAAACGCGTAAATTTGGTTTAATTTGGGGTTTTAAGGGTTAGGATTATTTTAAAGATTATTGATTGTTGGTAGATTAAAATGAGGGAGAGAATGACTGATCGAAGGTTTGTTCAACTGTGGCGAACGGTAAGTTGTTCTTTTTTATGTACTAAATTTTTTTTGATGTTTTGATTCATAAGTTGTTCAAGGGCGTAACATTTTTCTATATTCTGAATTTTTTTAAATTTAGGTTAAAATCTTTTGAAACCTGAAATTTTCAGTTAGTCCCAATATGATTCGAAACAAAAATATATATATTGAGTTGTAGTTGTTTGATTGAGTTGTTGGTTGTTTGATTGAGTTGTAACTTTACATAAGTTATTGTTACTATTTGATTGAGTTGATGAGTAATTGCATGAGTGTTAGGCATTTCTGATTTTGGATTTATAGCTTGGGTATGCATGTGTAATTGTTTTTTTGATGGTGTTGGACATTGTGTTTGAATATAAAATCCTTTTATTTTGGATAGTCTTATATTTTTTTTATTGATTTGTCAAATTGTGTTGCATGTGTATTGGGTAGTGTGTTTAAATATAATATGGTAAACATTGATGTTATTTAAGTATTGGTTGTTGGGACTTAAATGTGGTGGTGGACCAGTTTATGCATGTTTATTGTTTGGTTGTTGGAACTTTTATGGAGTTATAGTCCACAGGGTGTGGGATAAATTGTTTTGTCCTATTATGTATAACTTATACTTTTTCTTTTCATTTTTTAGTTTAAATTATGTTTATTTTCCTTTTCCTTCTCTTTGCCAGAAACTAATAAAAATAAAAATTCAGAATTTGAAGGTTCTAATTATTGTCCATATGAGCATGAAACTTCATAATCTTAATTCGTGGATAGTAACAATGATGCTAATGATACAACTGAAGAGGTTTGTGATATATTTGTGATTGGTAGTGTACAAGAGAGCTTAGGATTTGTGCCTAATCATACTGCTTGCAATAGTGTTTCTTCTTGTAGTGATAATGATGCAGAGCCATTGCATAGTGCTTCTTATGATAGCATTAGTGGTAGTAAAAAACAAAGATTTCCTAAGTTTAATACTAAGAATCATATGGCACGCCCTATTTTAAAGAAAATCCTCATATTTTATGGTAAGGAAATCTTGAAAGATGTTATTAGGTAGTATTAGGGGTGAAAGGTTTAGCATGTCATTTAAGAAGAATGATAATCGAAGAGTGCAAACTGTGTGTGGTAAGTGAACTTGTTCTTGGGTATTATGGGCATCTAAGTTGAACCTTATGGATTCTAATGATGAATATAATTGTCAAAGAGGAATAAGAAATCAAAGGTTGATATCTGCAAGGTGCATTGCCAAAACATTTTTACCCAAATTTAAGATTGACCTCAAGTATTCAATTATCTCACTAGAGCAAGATATTAGATAAGCTTATGGAACTTATGTGTGTTTAGGAAATTGTTATAGGGCTAGGAAACTGGTTGTACAGAAGGTCTTAGGTTCTTTTACAGAATAATATAGAAAAATCTATGAATACCTAGAAGAAGTGAGACACTCAAATTCTGGTACAACCACAATATGAAAGTTAGACAACATACTCTTTGTTAGGTTGTACATATGTTTGGAGGGTTGAAAACTAGGATTTCAGAATCACTGCAGACCCTTCATTTGTCTTGATGGATGCTTTTTAAAGGGTTATTACCAGGGTTACATATTGGCTGTTGTGGGAGTTGATGCAAATGATTGCATTTATCCCATAGCAGTGGCAGCTATTGAATCTGAAAATCGTGATAGTTGGCAATGGTTCCTACAATTATTAGGAGAGGACTTGGATATAGTCAAATCTCTTCATGTAACATTTATGCTTGATAAACAAAAGGTAAAAGTTAAAGTGTAACATTTATTTGTCAGATTGAATTGATATTTATTTGATATTATTTGTACTTTAATGTGACAGGGACTTGTTGACTCTATTCTGGAATTGTTTCTCAATGTTGAACACAGAACTTGTGTTAGGCATTTATATTCAAATTTCAAGAATGTTGAGGGCTATAAAGGAAAAGCATTGAAATATACTTTGTGGAAAGCTACAAGGACAAATACTATGAGGGATTTGATAGAGCAATGTTAGAAATAAGAGGGATGTCAGAGGATGCTTATAACTGGATAAAGTTAAAGGATGCTTCCATGTGGTCTAAGTCTCATTTTTTGACAAGGTCAAACTGTGACATCTTATCAAAAACCTACTTAGAATGTTTCAATGAGGTATATATAATTTCAATAATTTATTTACTGTGTATTTAGTATCATTTTGATCTTTCTAATGTATGTTTACCATTTTATATTACAAGATGATTCTTGAGGCAAGGGACAAGCCCATCCTGACCATGATGGAGACTATTCGCACGAATGCATATAATATCTAAAAATGGAGAAGCTATTCAGAAGTATATTGGTTTATTGTGCCCTAAATTTCAAAAGAAGGTGGACACATTAATTGGGCAAGATATTAGGTGTTGGCCATCACATGCTAGGGGTCCAAGATATGAAGTTGCATTTGGTCCATCTAAGCAAGATATGGGGGATCTAGAAATTAGAGCATGTTCTTGTAGGAAATGGGGTCTTACAAGTATTAATTTATTTTGATTATAATTTAATTACTTTCATATACTGTTAGGACACAATAAAGGATCTAATACATTTATGTTTCTCAACAGGGATTCAATGTGCACATGTTATCTCAGTGATGTTATTATTTCAAGAGAGGCCAGAGAACTATGTTGACAGTTGCTACCATAGGTTAACTCAAATCCATTTGTAATCTAACTTTACCTACCTTATCAGAGATGTAAATCAGTGCGAACCAATTACATCAATGGAGCCAATACTTCCTCTAATTCAAAGGAGGCCACCTGGCAGGCCTAAGAAAGAAAGGAAAAATGTTGTTAATGAACAACAAAGTGGTCCTAGTAGGGGGTAAAGGACCTAGAAATTAAATGCAAGAAACATGGTAAAGCAAGCCACAATATAAGGACATGTATAGGTCACGTCAGAGGTAATTTTAGGCTTAACACACCATTTGCTACCACATGTATCAAGTGCAAGTATAAGTATTTTTAGAAATATTAAATATAAATATTTATACCAATGTAAATATAAGTGTTATTAAGATCAAAGTAAGTATATTTGATTGGATCAAATTGTTCATCTTTATTCATTCATATTTTTTTATGTTATCAGTTTTTTTAATTTTTTCTAGAGTTCGTCCTTTCTCCATTTTTTCAGATCAAGTTTAAAATTCTTCATATAATCTAACTTTTTACTGTAAAATTACTAAAATTATAGTTTTTTTATTTAGATTGATAATCACTTCACAAACTTAATTTCACACGAAAATTAAGTTGTTTGATAACTCAGTCGAAAAGTGTTTTTGGCAAGCTAAAAGCATTGTCAAACCCTCTATAATAT